CTCTTTTCTTGGCCATGCAGGATTCTATCGTAGGTTTATCAAAGATTTCTCAAAAGTTGCACAACCTCTTTGCCGTCTCCTACAAAAAGAAGTGGCGTTTGAATTCACCAAGGAGTGCTCGGCTTCATTCAATCAACTCAAGGAGTTGTTGACCACGGCACCAATTATATCCCCACCAGATTGGTCCATTCCTTTCAAACTCATGTGTGATGCATCGGATTATGCACTTGGAGCTGTTTTGGGCCAAAGGAAAAACAAGCAGCCACATGTTATTTATTATGCTTCACGCACTTTAAATGATGCTCAATTGAATTATTCTACAACTGAAAAAGAACTTTTGGCGGTTGTATTTGCATTAGATAAGTTTAGATCATATCTAATTGGCACTAAAGTAATTGTTTTCACTGACCATGCAGCCTTGAAGTATCTTCTCACCAAAAAGGAGGCCAAACCAAGACTCATTCGTTGGATGCTCGTACTTCAAGAGTTTGATATTGAAATTAGGGACAAGAAAGGGTGTGAAAACGTGGTGGCTGACCACCTAAGTAGAATGGTGCGTGAGGAAGAACCCATCCCCATTTTAGAAACGTTTCCGGATGAGCAACTTCTGTCCATTCAGGTAAGTACTCCTTGGTATGCCGATTTGGTCAACTATTTGGTATCTAGACAAGTTCCTAGCACCCTAAACAAATTCCAACGTAATAAGTGTAAACACGAAAAATTTGAAATTTCGATGTCTACAATAAGCTTAAAAAGGATGCTAAATTTTATGTTTGGGATGACTCATACTTGTGGAAACATTGCTCATATCAGATTATAAGGAGATGTGTGCATGAATCAGATTTTCATTCAATTTTAAGTTTTTGTCACACATATGCTTGTGGGGTCATTTTGGCACCCAAAGGACAGCTTTAAAGGTTCTTGAATGTGGTTTTTATTGGCCTACTTTGTTTAAAGATGCAAGAACCTTTTGTTTAGCTTGTGATCGATGCCAAAGGACAGGTAATATAGGCCAAAGAGATCAAATGCCGCAGGTACCCATTGTTGTTGAAATTTTTGATGTGTGAGGCATTGATTTTATGGGGCCGTTTCCTTCATCTTTTGGTTTTACTTACATACTACTTGCCGTTGATTATGTTTCAAAGTGGGTAGTAGCAAAAGCCACTCGAACTAATGATTCTAAAGTTGTGGCAGATTTTGTGAAAACTAATATTTTTTCAAGATTTGGGATGCCTAGGGTGCTAATCAGTGATGGGGGGTCGCACTTTTGCAATCGTACAATTGAAGCCTTACTCAAGAAATACCATGTGACGCATAAGGTTTCCACACCTTACCACCCCCAAACCAATAGCCAAGCCGAGGTGTCCAATAGAGAGATCAAACAGATTTTAGAGAAGACAGTTGGACCCAATAGAAAAGATTGGAGCTTGCGTTTGGATGATGCTCTTTGAGCATATAGAACCGCATACAAAACTCCCATTGGTATGTCTCCTTTTCGTCTTGTTTATGGTAAACCATGTCATCTCTCTGTGGAATTAGAACATAGAGCTCATTGGGCTATCAAAACATTCAATTTGAATGTGGACCAAGCTGGAATTCATAGGAAGCTTCAATTATGTGAACTTGATGAAATAAGGCATGAAGCTTATGAGAATGCTAGAATTTACAAAGAGAAGACCACGGCCTTCCATGATAAGATGATTAGAGGCAAGACTTTTACAATAGGGCAGAAAGTGTTGTTGTTCAACTCCCGTCTTCGTCTCTTCCCTGGTAAGTTACGTTCCAAGTGGGTTGGTCCTTTTGTTATTACTAATCTTTTTGTGCATGGTGCAGTACAAATTAAGAGTTTGAGAATAGGGCAAGAATTCAAGGTGAACGGACATAGACTGAAGCCCTACTATGAGAACTTTGTAGAGCATGTTGTGGAAGACATTCCCTTGCATGTCGTGTGTTCCAACTTGGAGTGAAGGAGTTCTTCGTCCGGCTGTACGACGTTAAAGCAAGCGCTATGTGGGAGGCAACCCATCCATTCAACAAAGGAAGCCCTAGGAATCCCCCAAATTTCAGATTTGCGTTCCTCAAACCCTTATCTTTGTTGTTTCTAATCTGCCATGTTATGTTGTTTAGTTGCTGTTTGTGTGTTTACTTGTGTTTTGTGTGAATTTATGTTTAAAACATTGAGGACAATGTTTGATTTAAGTGTGGGGGGGTAACTAAGCATATTTGATGCAAATTCGTGGGATTTTATCACCCATAACTTCAAATGTTGTTCCTTACTGTTTTATAGTGTTTTTAAACTGTTTTGGAATGTTTTAGTGTGTTCTGTTTTATAAATCCGAAAATCACATAAAAATTTGAAAAACATGTTTTGAAAAGCCTAAAAAGAGTGTTTTGAGTCGTTTTTGTGTGTTTGTGTCTTAGGGTACCTTCCAACACAATGATGAGGATTTGGTTTTTAATTGCATGATTGTTAAAAAGAGTTATAAACATGGAGAAAAGTTTGATTTACTCTTGGTAGATGCTTGGTTATGGTTATAATGTATGACTTAACATGCAATCATAAAAGAAAAATTGGTTTTTGTAACATGCTTGAAGGAAGGAACTCAAACAAACACTACAACCTTGTGAGACTTGAACCTAAACGTTATTTGGAGTTAAAATCTGTGCATTATCGTTTTCTAAAGTCGTTGCATGATCTCATTATTCTTTGCTTGGTTACTACTTAGAAGGCGTTTCATCATATAGTTCCAAATGCTAGAACTCATGCCCATTTCATTCAAAGCATGTTATTGATTTGCATAACAGATATTCAAGAAGAAGTTGTGTAGTGACCACCACCAAAGCCAAATTACCGTGTATCCTACTTCATTATATGTTTAAGATAACCCCATTGAGCCTTGTTAAGCTTACCTTCTTTGTTAACTCACACTATCCTCATCTAGCCTAGATTAGGACCATCCATACCCTTATTCTTGAAGCATAGCAAAGCATGATTTGAATTGAACTCCCTTTGACTAATGTATGGCAGAAAACAAGTGTGGGGGAAGTAGCTTTTATGTGAGTTAGTGTGCCATAGGCACGGGTGAAAAAGAAAATAAAGAAAAAAAAAAAAAGAATTTCGTGGAAAAAGAAAAAGAAAAGAAAAAGTTGTGAAAAGAAAGAAAAAAGAGTATGAAATAAATGAAAATAAGTTCACATGTTTGTGGTAGTTGAAGAAAGGATCCAAAATGTTGAATATGACCCTGAGTGTTGCTTAGATCTTCCCTTTGTGTTAAAAGTTGATTTCTGCTATTAAAAGAGAGTTTAAATGTCAATTTCATTACTTTGCTTCCTATTGCTTTAAGAACCCTTGTTTTCCTCTATCTTTCCATTGTTAACCAATACCCCAAGCCCCATTACAACCCTTGACTTCTATCTTGAGTGTTGTGCATTTCAATTTGTGGAGTTTAAAGTTGATATGAGCATATGGTGTCACTGGTTCTCGCATCTAAGTAGTAGCATTCCATTCATGAGATCATATCTAAACATGCTTATTAACTTCAGAAATTGCTTTCTTTGTGATACATATATGTGAGTGTTCATTTTCATGTTTACATCAATCTTCTCACATACAACTAGATTAGGGTGTGTAGCTAGAAAATCTGAGTGAAAATTGAGTGCATATCTTGTAAGGAATTGAGCAAATTCTCTAAGGCATGTTACTACATTCAAAACATGGTTTTAAATGCTTAATTGTGAACTAGTATGTGGTGACTATGATTATGAATGTACTTAAGTGTGAAGATGACTAAAATCTGTGGAGATAATGAATTTTAACATGTCATGTGCATTGGAAATCCCTGAGGCAACGTTGGAAGGTTTAGATTGTCTTTTGTTTGTTTTGTTTTGTTTCGTTTTGTTTAGTTTGATTGTTTTGCTCGAGGACTAGCAAAAGCTAAGTGTCGGGGAATTTGATAGGAGCATATTTATGCGACTTAATTGGCTTGTTCTCATGCATTTACGTTGTGTTTCTTTAGTTCTTTTAGTCCTTTATGCCATTTTCGTGTGTTTCTAGGTTCATATGGCTAAGGAAGCAAAAATGAGCATTTTGGAGCATTTTGGAGCAAAATTGGGCTTGGAATGGATAGCTTATGTTTGGAGCAAAAGGAATGGACAAAATTGAAGACCTAATGAAGTTAGGATTCCTAATCACAAGAGGATTCCTAATCACAAGAGGAATCCTAGTCAAAGAAGGTTTCCTACTTGAAGTAGAAAAGTTAAGCCAAGGTTTTCTATTTGTGATTAGGAATCCTTATGTGTGGAAGAAATCAATTCATATCTCAATGGGTCATCCCAAACATAAAATCTAGCATCCTTTTTAAGCTTATCACGTTAGAATCTGTTTAGGATGCTAGGAACTTGTCTAGATACCAAATAGTTGACCAAATCGGCATACCAAGGGGTACTTACCTAAATGGACAGAAGTTGCTCATCCGAAAACGTTTCTAAAATGGGGATGGGCTCTTCCTCACGCACCATTCTACTTAGGTGGTCAGCCACCACGTTTTCACACCCTTTCTTGTCCCTAATTTCAATATCATGAAGTAGGAGCATCCAACGAATGAGTCTTGGTTTGGCCTCCTTTTTGGTGAGAAGATACTTCAAGGCTGCATGGTCAGTGAAAACAATTACTTTAGTGCCAATTAGATATGATCTAAACTTATCTAATGCAAATACAACCGCCAAAAGTTCTTTTTCAGTTGTAGAATAATTCAATTGAGCATCATTTAAAGTGCGTGAAGCATAATAAATAACATGTGGCTGCTTGTTTTTCCTTTGGCCCAAAACAGCTCCAAGTGCATAATCCGATGCATCACACATGAGTTCGAAAGGAATGGACCAATCTGGTGGGGATATAATTGGTGCCGTGGTCAACAACTCCTTGAGTTGATTGAATGAAGCCGAGCACTCCTTGGTGAATTCAAACGCCACTTCTTTTTGTAGGAGACGACAAAGAGGTCGTGCAACTTTTGAGAAATCTTTGATAAACCTACGATAGAATCCTGCATGGCCAAGTAAATAACGAACCTCTCTAACCAAAGTTGGAGAAGGTAAGTGACGTACAAGATCTATTTTGGATTTATCAACTTCAATGCCGTTCTCAGAGATGATATGACCTAAAACTATGCCTTATTTAACCATGAAATGACACTTTTCCCAATTAAGAACAAGGTTAGTTTCAACGCAACGTTTTAGAATCAAACTAAGATTATGCAAGCAACCATCAAAAGAATCACCAAAGACGCTGAAATCATCCATAAACACTTCAATAATATTCTCAACATAATCAGAAAATATGCTCATCATGCATCTTTGGAATGTGGCAGGTGCATTACATAAACCAAAAGGCATGCGACGATATACAAATGTACCAAAAGGGCATGTGAAAGTTGTTTTTTCTTGGTCCTCGGGTGCTATGACAATTTGATTATAACCAGAGTAACCATCAAGAAAACAATAGAAAGCATAACCCGCTAACCTTTCAAGCATTTGGTCAATGAACGGCAATGGGAAGTGGTCCTTCCTTGTGATGGCGTTTAGCTTCCTATAGTCGATGCACACCCTCCAACCAGTTTGAATGCGCATAGAAACAAGCTCATTCTCGGCATTTTCCACAACTGTCACACCTGATTTCTTCGGTACACATTGGATAGGTGAGACCCACTTACTATCCGAGATTGGATAGATGACTCCACAATCTAAAAGCTTGATTATCTCCTTTTTCACAACTTCCATCATCAGAGGGTTAAGATGGCGTTGAGCCTCTCTAGTTTGTTTGGCCCCCTCCTCAAGAAATATGTGATGCATGCATGTCGTAGGGCTTATACCTTTAATATCGGCCAATGTCCATCCTAGGGCAGATTTGAACTCTTTCAAAACTTGAACTAGTTTCGCCTCTTCTTGTGCCGTGAGGGATGAGGAGATGATGGCAGGTAAGGTCTCATTCTCTCCCAAGAAAATGTATTTCAAATGGCTTGGTAAAGGTTTTAGTTCAAGGTTGGGTGCCTGAATTATGGATGGAAGCAACTTGTTAGTCGAAATAGGAATTGACTCATGATTAGGAGACTTACCATCATGCGTACGTAACAACTCAAGGGTAGCAACCATCTCACGAAGGTCCTCACTAGGGTGCACGGCATGAAGTGCTTGAGGGTTGCCGTGGGTTAGCCTAGGGTGTACCTCCTTCTTGTTGCGTTCCATGCCTCTTGTAATGACTTTTTCAAGCGCATCATCGTTCAAATCTTCAAGATATCCCTGCACCAAAGAGTCAATTATATCAATAGAGAAACATGAATGGTCCTCACTAGGGTACTTAATAGAATCAGAAAGATTGAATTTAACAACTTCCCCATCAAATTCCATGGACAAAGTTCCATTAAACACGTCAATCTTGGTTCGGGCCGTTTTCATGAATGGCCTTCCAAGGAGGATGGGCAATGAAGTGGCATGATCCGATTCATCCATCTCAAGAACATAGAAATCCGCCGGGAAGATTAAATGGTTAACCTGCACTAAAACATCTTCCAAAACTCCCTTTGGATAGGCATTAGATCTATCGGCCAATTGTATGATTACACCATCATTTTTCAACACTCCTAAATTCATAGATGCATAAATTGAGTATGGCATAACATTTATAGAGGCTCCTAAGTCTAGCATGGCAGATTCAAAGCGAACATTACCAATGACACAAGGAATTGTAAAACTACTTGGATCTTTGCATTTTGGGGGTAATTTTCGTTGCAAGATGGCAAAGACATTTTCACCTACCTTGACAACCTCCTTGGTCGAAATCCTCTTCCTAATGGTGCACAACCCTTTTAAAAACTTGGCATAGCGTGGAACTTGCTTGATTGCATCCAAAAGGGGTATGTTCACTTGAACTTTCCTAAATGTCTCAAGAAAGTCCTTTTCAGCTTCCTCCTTCTTTGTTTGCATGAACCTACTAGGAAAAGGAACATTCGAAGGAAAAACATTAGTAGGAACTGAATTTGACACATTCTTACCTTTATTGGACAGATTGGATGGTTTAGAGACACTAGGAACTTGCGGCAAAGGGAGTTCCACCCTTGCCGTGGGTTTGCTTGTTTCCCCCTCTTCAAGGTGCAGTTTTTCATCCTCTTTGTGACCTGTTTTTGATGAAGAACCTGCTCCAACTTCTTTTCAACTTCTTAACAATATGGCTTTTGCACTTTCGAACCCTCCTTTTGGATTTGGAATGGTAGAACTAGGGAGTTGGCCTTGATCTCGAAATTTCCCTACAAAATCTGCAATCTGCCCAATTCGTTTCTCCAATTGATCCACCATCTTGTCTTGGCTTTGCATGGCTTTAGCTTGATTCTCTTGTCCCTGAGACAAATTAGTTAGTAATTTAAGAAGTGTATCATTGTCTAAAGTGTTACCTGAACTTGTTTGGGCAGATTGTGGAGGAGCTTGTGTGGGTGCGTAGGGTTTGTTGTAGAAGCCCGGAGGTTGTTGTCTAAATCCTCCTTGTTGTGGTTGTTGTTGGGTCTCCCTCCACTTGAAGTTTGGGTGGTCTCTCCATCCTGGATTATAAGTGTTTGAATATGGATCGTTCCTTGGTTGGTTTTGGCCTGAAAATCCAATTGCATTCGCGTTCTCCCATCCACCATTCTCAATAAGTTGTGGGCACTTCTCAGAGGCATGTCCTTGGATAGAACATACTCCACATACTATTGGTCCTTGCATCCTCATTCCTTCGGCCATCTGAGACACAATGGAAATAAGATTAGCTAATTGTGATTGAATATCGGATGAAGAGCTTACCTCATTCAGTTGTGGCCGTGGGTTATCCCTTTGTCCCATGCCTTCGTATTGTTGTGCATTCAATGCACGGTTTGCAATGAGTGTCTTTGCTGCCATGGGTGTTTTATCTACCAAAGCTCCTCCCGCCTAGGCATCTAGCATTTGACGTTTGATTGGTAGAAGGCCTTCATAGAAATATTGAAGGAGCAACTCTTCCTTCATTTGATGCTGTGGACAAGAAGCAACAAGTGATTTAAAACGTTCATAATAAGTAGGAAAGGATTCACCTTGCTTTTGTTGTATGCCACTTATTTGTTTCCTTAGGAGAATGATTCTTGAAGTGGGAAAAAACTTCTCCAAGAATGCTCATTTCATACTTTCCCAAGACGTCATTATCCCCGGTGCTAGCTCATATAACCAATCTTTAGCTTTGTCCATTAGAGATAATGGAAAAACCTTCATCTTTAGGATGCTACCATCGACATTGACAGGGGTCATGCTCGAACAAACCACTTCAAATTCCTTCAAGTGCTTGTTAGGGTCTTCCATGGACAGCCTATGGAACTTTGGAATGTGGTGCAACAAGCTAGACTTCAATTCAAACTCCTCGGTCTTGCCTTAAGCTGCCTCGGGATATTGAATACATAGAGGAATGCTAGATTTTAATACCTGCATAATGGATTAACAATGTGGGGTTACTTCCATCCTTAGACTGCCTCACAGTGCTTCCAGAGGCACTCCTGCCTCCAGAAGTCTCAGGATCTGCTACAACATGCCGCCAAGCTTTTAAGGTCACAGGTATAGTCACTTCCGCACCAGGTCTCAAGGGAAGGGCTGATCTTAAGGTTTCAGATGCAATCGAGATAACAGAATTTTGATTTTCTCCTGATAGTGATACATGAGCTTGCTCAACTGGAACTATACCTGCATTAGCCAGACTGATCCATACATCACGAATTTCACCTTCGTGAAGAATGATTGCACCATCACCACTGACAATACGTGAAATCAACAATGGTAATGGCGGTACCACATAAATGTTTGGAACAGATATATTTTTCAACCTCGCAGACCCACAGCATCTGAAAGGGTCAGAAAGCACAAGTCCTTGTGTAGCTCCAAGAAGCAGATTGTCGACATCCTTGAACAGGTGTTCAGTAATAACACCAAAGCAGTGGACAGTGCACCCAGGAATTGTCACTGGCCCAACTGTAGTTGGGATCCCAGATAAGGTGATCACTTTTGATGAATTGGGTGGAAGATTTACAGTAACAGGAAAAGCATCAAAATTTCCTGAAGGCACTGAGAGATATATGCTATCAACCCTCAATTCAAAGCCGCATGGGTTTGCCAGTTCAACCAAAACCTGCACTGGTTCTCCAACAATCCAAACCAGGTCCTGTTTGGCATTACTGTTTGTATCTCCCTTGCTGAATGGTGTATAAATAAAAGGGCCAGTATTAGCAGCTCCTGCCCACCAGTCTTCTCTTGCTGGATTGCGCTTCACAATGTCCATTTGTGAAGGATGGAGAGGAAAAGAAAACAATCTAGAAGCAAAGAAGATGATTAAATAAAAAAACTAACATAAAAAATTAACTGATACTTAAAAGAAGAGCACTAATGGTTATTTGTCCATATCCTTGTCATCAACAATCAGTTCAGGATCAACTTGAATATGAGAAGATTCCTAGAGAAACAAAGGAATAGATTTTTATTCATCCGCAATACGAAAAGAAGACTAATTAGCTGCACAAAAGGTTCTGAGCAAATCACACTTCTAAAAGAATTATATAGGCAAACATAATATTGTTAAAAAAAAATTATTTTAAAAAAAGAAGACTTGATGAAAACAAAACGAAAGGACTCTAGCATCCATAAGAACATTAATAAGCTGGCCAGAGCTAGCAGGTATTTACTTCTCATTGCTGCACACTCTCATGCTCGAGAAAGAATATCTGTCAGTAATTCAGATAGCAGAATATCTTCCTCACTGCTGCTCTGTTAGACTACGCATATTAAATGGACTTTAAAATTATGTTAAGACAATAGTAATTAGCTCAATCGTTGTTATCAGGGCCTGTCTGTGCAACTGTATACTTGTCTTGCAGAAAAGATTATGGAGAAAAATTACCTATAGGACAGCAAATACTATTGTTGTTATTAGGCTTCATAAGTTATAAAATGCTCATGTATAGACAGGACAATGACTTAGGTACTGATGAAGACCTAATGAAAGGTAAAGCAGGGTCAGCACAGCGGGTTCCAGATGGCAACATATCTGCTGAATTTGAAAGTGCACTAGCAAGACCATTTTGCCCGGCAGGTGTAATTAAGGGATAGTACGATCTCAGTAGTCTTGCAGCTGCACCCCAGGCAGCAAGAGGATCTCCTGCACGGACGGCAGATAGCAGTATCTCTCTGAGGACAACCATCTGTAGTGTGCTCCACTGAGACTCAAAAAGAGAGACTACTGACTGGTGGAGCCATTTCCCACCCTCTGCAAGACTTGACCCGATTTCCTTCTGTGAAAAATAAAATCAGAACGAGCAGCTAAAAACTTACTAGGAATATGCTCATAATCAAAGCCACGCACCATATAAGAATGTTACTAAAGGGTAATAACACAAGAAAATTACTAGGGAAATAAGCCTCTCAACCATGTTCTTCATTTCCTATTAAAGTTTCATTCCAAAATACAATAGAGAAAAGACAGATATGTGCCATCAATGATCAAGACTTCAAATTAACAACGTAAGTCATAAAATCCATCTCAAAAGACACATTAAAGCATGTGCAGGAGCATGCAGACAGACTTAAAAGCAACATATGACCACGAATATTTTGCTTAATAACACTCACTTTAGGAAATGAATCCTCGGAGATGGAAGCTCTGCTTTGAACACAGTATGCTCTTGTGGTCATTGATAAAACTTGCAATGCACTAATGGCAGCCAGTCTATTGTCCTGCTGTAGATATAACTGAGCCACTTGCCTTGAGAAAAAAGCAGCCTTTCGCTGATAACCAAGAGTTCCATATAAACGAGCTATTTCAACATATAATACAAGTCTATCGCTGGCATCAATCAGAGATTTAGCACCATCTGCTGCACTTGTTAGTAGTTCTACTACCTCCTTAGCCATCTCCCGTCTGGCACAGTAAAACCAAAAACAGATACGTAACAAAATGTAAAACCTAACTATTTCCGAAGTACTATTTGTCATCCCATGGAACATATATGATCATAAATGGTACCATTGTGGAGCACCTACTCCAACTTTTAGAGAGAGAATTCAATTCATTTATAATCATTTGCTGGGAAAGGAAGATTAAAATTTTAAAATTTTTAAAGTCAAGACTCACAGATAGGATCAGTATAAGAATAAGATGCAGACAGAATGTCATCCAGTGAAAGTAGTAGATGGTCTAATACAAGCTGAGCGCATCAAATCATAAATTTTGATAAACAAAATGTACCTGCAAAGAAACCTTGCCAGTTTCAATGTAGCCTCTAGTTCAAACGTTAAGGGTGAAACTCTGCACATAAATGATATAAAAGTAACAGTTAATAGAATACATACATTAATAAAGCAACAGCCATCTAAACACAACAGCATCTAGAAATTACCTCTGAGCATTTTCTTGTATAAAAGACTTCCTGTAGTGCGAGATTACACTCCTATATCGATATCTAACTCCATCGTCCACACCTGAATCCCTTTCGCCCAATCGATCAATCTAACATGTTTACAGAAATCAGTAAGTAGGAAATCTAAGAAATAAATAAACAGGGAAGCCATGAAAGTCTATTATGTTATCGAACACAGGTAGTCATGCAAAAATCCAGAGAGTGAGCCACTACCAGTAAGGCACAGACACTGCCCTCCAATGCACCGGCATACCAGAAAAAATCTCCAGTCAACCTAGCAAATTCTAGAGCAGTAGAGTAATGAGCATCGGCATCAACAGGTGATCCTGCCAACAAGCAATAATCACCCATTGTCTTCTGCGCTCGCCCGAGCCTCCGCTTCTTCGCCTTTATAACCTGCCATTTTAGATTTTTGTTAACTTCCATCTTTCGGCAACATTGAACACAGGAATTCACATACCAACACTCCAATCAAAACACCAACATTTCGATAAATATATAACACTGAATTAATTACTAATTACTATTGTAGTAACGGATTAAATTCTATAGGACACCTAGACATGAACCTCCTCTGAGTTGAGAGTCGCTTGAGAATCCAAAGGCGTCTTGACAATGGTCCCTGCAGGCTCAGCTTTAAGCACCCACTTCTCGAACTCCATCAGCAGCGACGCTGCGATATCCTGCATCATCGTCTGCAAGTGGAACTCCTGAGTCGCCAGATCCGCCGGCGGAAACAGCATCAAATTCCCTCCTTTCTTGCTGCCATCCTCCAACTGTAAACCAAACAATAAACAATAAATCCAAAAATTTCGAAATTTCGAAAAGGAAAATAGTAACAAATTGAAAACCAATCGAGATTCACATTCTCCTGACCTGAGAATCGGCGGGGCAGAAGGCGAAGCAGCGATCGACGAGGGCGGAGGAGTAGGCGAGGCGAGCCGAGTCGAATTGGTCGATGATGGAGTCGAGATCAGGGGACGAGGGGCAGTGGCAGATGCCGATGACAGCCAAGGTTTTGCGATTGGACTGGAAGTCCTCCCACGGGGACGGTGGGGCCCCGCCGAGGACGAACTTGAATCGGAGGTTGCCGGAGTCCCAGGGCTGGTGGGCGAAGGGGGACTTCTGGTGTTCAGTGTAGAAGGAGCTGATGGCGGAGAGAGGGATCGTGTGGTGGCGGAGCAGCATCGAGTGGTAGTCGCGGAGGAGGACGGGCGCCACGTGCCCGATGGGGAGGACGGCCACGCGGATCATGGCACTGGTTTCGATGCTGACGTCGGGCTCCATTTTGGCGGGAGATCGGAGGGTGCAGAGGGATTAAGCGCGGGAGTGAGAGTAGAGGATCGGGAGCATGGGAGTTGAGATGTCCCTGCGAGGAATGACAGATCGTGTTCTCTGGTTAGTTAAAACGGAGGAGGAGGGACAGGTGTTTGGCCGTAGGGTTATCCGGAGTCTGGATCAGGATAGAGTTGTCTTTCCACGAGTGCAGGAGAATCTAGTCCTTCAATTATGCAAACTACAAATTTGCTAATTTGGACTACGTTTGAGTGAATTTAAAACTAAAATAGAATGCAGAGATGTTGTAGTTTTCACCTTATGAAGTGTGATTTTGTTATAATAAAAGTGGATGACCCACATGAAAAAATATGCACCGTGTATTGCTTCTTGTCAACCAACAAATGTTGAAGTTCTTGTTAGCCAACAAATGTTGAAGATGTGCTGCCTACTTTCACATCTCTTGGCCTTAACAGAGAAGATATAGGTTTCCTATATCGACTCACAAATATGTAGAGAGAATAGAGAAGAAAAGCATACAATTTCTTGTTTCCATTGCTTTGTAATTTTAGTTTGATAATGGAAAAACTATTGTTACTACCCCAAGAACTTAGGCACACTTGCCTAATCTCGTAAATATTGTGTCTTATTTACTTTATGTTCCACTATACACATATCCTTAATCTCATAACACGTTATCAGCACGAGAAAATATGTAGAGAGAATAGAGAAGAAAAGCATACAATTTCTTGTTTCCATTGCTTTGTAATTTTAGTTTGATAATGGGAAAAACTACTGTTACTACCCCGAGAACGTAGGCACACTTGCCTAATCTCGTAAATATTGTGTCTTATTTACTTTATGTTCCACTGTACACATATCCTTAATCTCATAACACGTTATCAGCACGAGAAACTCTCGTGCCGATGGAAAGCATTATCTACCTCTCACATCTGTTGGCTGGAATCTCACAGATAAGAAAATATTTTACTTTATCTTCATACTTCTATACGACTAATTTTCTTAAAGCAAATATACATCTTATTATATAACTATTATTATTATTATTGGCAGAAAATATGACAGTCATGTAAACAACCTCTGAACTACAACTTCTTGACCATGGATTGAAATACCTTATTCTTGAAAGTTGTTCGTCCGCCCAGTACCTATAACATATCCAAATTTCAAATAAATCCAACGGTGCGATCATTGCAGATGTTTGAAACACCAACCCAATTTCCAATCTCGCAGAAAATTGACAGCCATTTTATGAGTGCCAAAACCCTATTTTCAGTAGCTCACTTCAAAACGGTTTCTTCATAAAAGTTGTTCGTTATCCTCTTATCCATATTATATTAAAATTTGAGCCAAATCCATTGGTTTAATCTTCCTATAATTCTCAAACACTACCCGTGATACATCACCACTGTTAGAAAGGAGAAAAAGAAGTACAATATGTTAATGTTTACTTTTTCCTTATTATTACTAACCTTGTTATAAATATGATTGGTGAGGTATAGTCGCCCATCATATACTATATATATTACAATATGAATGGTACCAATTGACCACCTTCACCCTTCATATATATATGAAATCCGGGGACGGGATTTCACATGCGGTAAGTCAATAATTTACATCGACATAATACTATTCAATAAATATTATTCATGGTCATAATTAAAATCCCACAAAAGTACGCATACTTGTGCATCTCGTAGGATTTAGGATAATTTCATAAATTTCGTCATTTCGCTAATTTTTATAAATATTAGACTAATCTAGGCTTATGTAAGAAATTATTTAAATGGAAAATAAATAAATATATAATATTTAAAAGCAAAGACCCACTCACAAATACTTGCGAGTTCGCAGCCGTTCGAACCAGTGCAAATTCAGAATCATAGCGTCAAAATACGCTAAGGAGGATCCCCGGCAAATTTTGTAAAAAGTCAACGGTCAACCCTAAAATGTCAACCAAGACGCCCCAGTGCTCAACTATGTTAAAACTTTAGAATTTTCCTAAATGGATGTCAAAAATGAACTCGGGACGTTGAAATTCAGATCCACGTCGCAGATCTGGGCTTTTTTTTTTCCTTATATAAGCTTGAAAGGAGAGGAAGAGAAATATACCACATGAGGTCCTGCCGTGGCTGGAATTGGCCGAAAAACGACTCAAAGTCGCCGGATCTTTCGCCAAAAAGTTGGGTTAATTTGCAGGGGTGTTTTCTACATCCAAGCATCACCAAAATCCTTCAATTTACCCTAATCGTACTACAAAACATGATCTACGAAGAACTTGGGGGTTTTTGAGGTTCACCTTTGTTGGAAAAATGAAGTTTCGCCGAAGGAGACGATGAACATTGGCCAAAGCCACTGTGCAGCCACATCTCGAACCAGGGTGCACTGAACTGACTAGATGACAGTAATGGTGATCTCTCTTCGAGGCTAGTGGTCTAGTTTCAATGGTTTAGACGGAATATGGCGATGCTCTGTCAAGGTAATGTCTGCATAACTACAGAGAATAGGAGAACGAGAAAGAGAGGGAGAGACATGTGAAGGATGAGGGAGAGGAAATCATGGCAGTCGACGGTGGTTCGTGACTAGCCTAGGTTCATGGTGGTAGTGCTCGCCAGAACGGCAAGGGTGTTATGGTTTGATTTCTCTGCACTTGCAGAGAAAGAGAGGAAAGGAAACTGAGGGATGAGAGAGAGTGAAAGCAAGGAAGCAGAAATGAAGTCGTAGCAAATGAGTGTAGAGTTGGAAAAAAAAAAAAAGGGATTTATGGGGATTGGGAAACACGAGAGAGAGGGAAAGAGTGAGGTGTGGGCCCTATGTGGCACATAGCTCAAAGTCACCAATGAAAATACAGAAAAATATCTCCTGTAACGTGAATTTACCAAAACGCCCATCACACTCCATAGTTTGTAAAATCTTCATCGTAACTTCAACTTCTGTTCCGCTTACGCCTATGCGTTCATACCATCAAGTGCTTCGAGAATACGGTTCAATAATAGCTCTCACGCGTCACAAAAAGACGGTCAAAGAAAGTCAACAATCTCTCTTTTAAGGGCATTTTGGTCAACTCCCACTTTTAAAATTTATAAAATCGTAAAATTAGGGACGGGTTATCACATTAGGGCTGAGAAAAACATTGGACAATCAAGATTAAATTTCAACCAGTCCAACGATCATCAATTTTCTAAAATTAATTTAAAAAAAAAAAATATATATATATATATATGCTTTTTAATTTTGAGCTCAGTTTGGGATTAAATCCTATTGTTGTTAATTATAATATTTCTTTTTAGTGGTATAAAATTATAAAATTAATATTTTTCTTATCATGTAATGGGTTACCCAAGTGTATACTTAGATCCATCCGTTATTTTAACAGGTGCTTCTCAGGTTACCTGATAATGACCCAATTCGTTATCGTGTCGACTCGAAAACTTGTTAATTCGTGTCAGGTTAACGGATCATGTCTTGCCAGGCCTAACATATACGTAGAAGGAGTCAAAGTTTTGCCTTATGACTTGAAATTACATGATCAGACGTTATTCAGGATGATTACGTAATGAAATCGCTCATTGTTAAGCGAAATTTCCAGTTTATACTATTCTACGATAGTGTGAAATGAAACTCTGTCTAACCTTATTTAAAAGGGAACTTTAATGAAAAGCTCCCGGTACTATTCACTTTAACAAAAAACCACATTTTTACACTAAAAAGTCAATCCTAGTACTATTCACTTTACCCTTTATTTTGTCATTTTCGTTAAAACTCAAAGTTTTTAAGTCTTTTTTTATTAGTTTTGTTTATTTAAAACGTCATGTTTGACAACTCATTTGTACTTATATTTCATCTTAATAACCTTGTTAAAAAAATTAAAAAAAAAAAAAACTCATAATTAATTTGTTTAAAGTTTTGCAAGAGAATAAATTACTAATCATGAGTTTTGTTTAAACCTTAACGTACGCGTGCACATAAAAAATAGATGGCAGTAGCTTAGAGCATCTTTAAAGGAGTCGTCAAATTCAAAACATCAAATTTTAATTTGATGGCTGACTTGGCAATTTGACATATTGTCAAGATTTTCCTTCCGCCTGATATACCAAAATTTATTGCTTTATTTATGTTGTTTTTAGACAAAAATAATAAAAGTTAGATTATTGATAATAAAAATAACTATCAACTCCAAACTACATGCAGCGTTTTCTCAAACGTGGCATCATTTTCATTGAAAAATGTTGAAGAGGCATCTTTTTAGATTGTATTTTGTAGGTTGTATTATGTCACAATTGATAATTAGATAATTAATGTAAATCATTAAAAAAAATTAATTATCAACTGTCACATCATATAATCTAAAAAGTATCGTTAATATTAAGAGAACTCTTTCTAAGTAGGACTCTTCATGAACTACCTACCACCTCATAGTTTAATGTAAATTCATGTGCCAACATTATGAACCATTGTGTAAAAAACATGAGGTATCAGAAAGTCCCTAAAGAGTCCCACTTTTGAGAGAGTTACCTTAACATTTCTCTACAGTTTAAGTAGTTGGTCAAAAGAAGTGTTACTAGAATTAACGTCGGTGGAAATTGACATGGCGAATGAGCGCTTTGGAAAGGAAAGGGTAATTCTTTCTAAGTGAGATACTTCCTAAGACACACTAATTCTTTCGATGTATCATGGAACTTGGTATTCAAACAGACCACAGGAAGCAAAGGTACCCGTCAAAGCCCTAAGTCTAGCTCAGGTTAAAAGTCCCCCAACAATCTCTTTAGGATCACTCTTTTAATTATTTATTGCCACAAATTGACTAACTATTTTACCAAAAATAAAAGATAAATAAATTTTCTAAAACTAATGAAATTAAAGTTGGCCTGTATCGGTCTCTAAAATTGACCAGACTCATCATTTGGATCCCTCAATTTGAAAATCGATGAATGTGGTTGTTGAATTTTATCACTGCACATCAAATTAGTCTCCACCTTCTAATTTTGTTAAAT